TGGGGGTGAGGGGGCGGTGAGGCATTGGGGGGTGAGATGGAGGCCAGGACCCCGGTGAGTAAACCGCTGCACCTCTGGGCAGGAGAGCAGGATTCAGAGTGATGATTGGCAGTGGGGATGCGGAGAGGGCAAGTCAAGGACACTCACATTTTCGGGCCTGAGCAGCATGGCAGATGGTGGTGGCATTCTCGAGATAGGGAGGTCGGGAAGAGTGCCACATTGGACCAGGAAGAGACTGAGTCCAACCTCGGACAACACTGTTGAAAAACGGAGGGGACCGTCACCAGCCCACAGCTTGAACTCATCTCCTTCGAGGTAAACCCAGTGAGAAGGCAGCCGTGCCCTTTGCTGTTCTCATTCATGCCAGCAAGCCCTCTGTTACTGCAATATATGTACATACAATGCATGTACATATGTGTGCAATTGGGTGAGCACATTTGCAGGTAAATTCCTATCAGTGCAATTGCTGATTCGGCGCAGCTGACATTCTCATGGACATTTTCCAGTTTACCTTCCCACCCACCAGGCCTGAGAGCGCCTGCTTCTCAGACCTCCACCACCATGGCTAGTATTGCACATTGTAGTCTTTGAAAACCCACTTTGGCTTTAAATCTTCTGGGAGCTTGGAAAAAAATGAAGCACCTGTACATTTATATGACGCTTTCAATGTTTCAAACTGTTTTCTCATTGATCTCATTTAATTCTCAAAAAATCTAAGGAGGCAGAAATCATCCTCCTTTGAAGCATTGAAGGAATCACCACCTATTTTTTCCATAGAAGAGGAAAGAGAGGAGTGATAAGATTTTCTCAGTGTGAAAGTTTAGACAAAACCAGAATTCACTTCCTGTTCTCTCCCCTATAGCCTCGCCTCTCCAGGCACGGCTACCCAGCAGCCTCCAGCCGGCCCCACAGCCCCTGGCTCGGAGGCTGCATTTTCACCAGCACCCCAGGGAGGGCCGTGGATAATGGGTGGGGGACACAGATGGTGACACGCTCCCTCCTGTGGACATCTGACCTGAGCTCTGCTTCTCGGGGGAGCAAGAGTCTAACTTACTCTCCCCAGGGGAAGGGGCGGAGATGGATGGCAGGAGGGAGGCCTGTGGGAGCAGCTGCTGGGCAGTGGTCCGATGGCCAATCCTGGCAGTGCCTGGCACCTAGAGAGGGCTCTGTGGCTCTTGCCTGAGCTGGTCTGGGATGTTGTACCTTGGCACAGGCTGGTGCCCTTTCCCTCTGACTTTGATCAGCAATTCCAGCCCTGTCCCCCACATGCCTACCACCCTCCTGGATGCGTCCTATGAGGGATTTTATCATTGTGGGGAGGACAGGAGGCCCACAGATTTGGGTGCTGAGTGCAGACCAGATGCTGGGTGCTGATCCCCGACTCGCTAAGGGTGCACCTCCAGCAGTCCCACCCTTCCCATCTGTCATACCCACCCTAGGCCCTGACGCCCCCATGAGGCGATGGAGGTGCTGCTGGGCCCTGTGCTCTGCCTTAGTTGCACTACTCTGAACTTTTAAATGTGGTTTCTAAAAAGAGGTCTCCGAACGCAGCTCACCCAGAACTGTGCGTGTCTCCCTGCCACAGCCTCGCTTGAAAACTTTAGACTCATGCTGTCCGGCAGGTGGCCACCAGACATGTGGCCCCTTGAGACAGGCTGCCAGTGTGAACCACACGCCAGGCTCTAAAGACTAAGAAAAAGAAAAGAGAAGGTAAAATGTCTCAATTTCTTATATTGGTCACCTGTTGAAATGATAAGATTATGGATTTATTGGGCTAAATAAAGCATATCATTAGAATGACTTGTTCCTGTTTCTTCTGACTTTTAAAAATGTGGCTGCTAGAACCTCAGGGGCAGATGTGGCTGGAATTCTGTTTCTATTGAACAGCGCTGGTCTAGACACTGGGGGCCTTATCCATCGTCTTATTGCTGCTTCTGATTTTCTGGGAAGGAGGTGGGGGATGAGGGAAGGAAGGAAGAAATACATCAAGGAAGGGAGAGAGGAGAAGAGGGACGGAGGACGATCTTTTCATTCAGGAAGGCCACGTGGAAAGAAAGAGAACTGATGTCAGGTCTCTGCTGCTCTGGCTGAGCCACCTTGGGAGACTCACCTGAACTTCTCTGAGCTACAGTTTCCTCATCAGTAAAACAGGGTATAGTTACCTACCAGGAGTATTTTGATGTTTAGAAATATCTACAGAGTTCCTTGCTTGGTGTCTGACAGGTACGACTTGCTCATTGAAGAGCAGTATTTTGCATCAGCAGCACCTGGGCCAGCACATAATAGGTGCTCAAGAAATGATTTTGAACCCACGAATGTTTGAGGTGTGGAGGGAGGCTGTCGTCCAACCAGTACAATCTGTTTTAGAGCATCTTACCCCCATTTCAACGTGCCCCCCTCCCCTCTGCCGGGGGGCCTGAGGGGAGCACTGTGGAGTCACCTCCTCTCGCCTGGCTCTTTCCCGCCAGGTTGCAGCCTCTTCACATGTATTCCGTGTGCTTGGTGGTTGGACTGTTCTCCCTTGTTCCCTGGGGCCCTGTCTGGGAGGTGCCGAAGCTCCACCTGGACAACTGCCGGCAAGCGTGGTGGACAAACTTGCTGTTGCTCAATGACTTCCTGTGGCTCCGGAATGCGGTGAGTCCCAGGTGCTGGCTGCGAAGGGCAGATGGGCACAAAGGAGGTGAATCGTGCCCCAGGGTTCGGTGAACTTCCCAAGGGCCACCTTGAGGAGTCCGGTCCCCTTCATTCTGGCATATTCTTGGGAGTACTAGCGACGCTGTAGGAAGGTGGGCGGTCGGCAGGGAGACCAGGCTCCTGTGACGGAGTGAGTGGTGGTGACTGCACCGGTCTTGGAGGAGCAGCAGCTGGGAAAAGCAGAGGGAGGAAGCAGGGTGGTGGCACTGAGGGGCTAGGCATCTAGGTGCACGGCCTGAGCGCAGCTGACCCCACTCCGTTACGGTTCCTGTCCCAGTCCGTGTCTCCCCAGGGTGAAAGGACAGTTTCTTCACCTCCCCATGAGAGCCTGTAACAGATGGGTCACTGGGCCACCCCCTCACCATCCTGAATTCTATTCCATTTCAAGCCAGATCTGACAGGGCGACAGCATTTGTATACACTGGTCTTGGCTTCCCTAAAGCCCTAATTTGCTCATGAGGAACTTGGAGCAAATGGAAGTGAGGTTGCTGTAATTAAATCATGTCACTGATTTTGCTTGTGCCTTGGAAGTGCAGCTGAAGAGAGAATCACTAGAGTGTAGCTAGTTACTCGCATGATCACTTACCCACTAGACACTGCCTTCCATTCTCAAGTGCCCAGCAGCTCCAAGAGGGCACGTAGCACCGTCTAACTGCCTTCAGGTGGGCCCCTGCCTGGGCCAGGGGCCCATGGGGCATAGCCTGAGCTGTTTTCCTAGATGCAGGCTGGCTGGGGCCACATGTGGGAATCAGTGACAAAGACACCAGCCAGCCGCATCTCAGAGGTGAAGCCCACCTTAGCTCTTGGAAGCAGAGGTGTGAGGGCCGTCAAGTCTGGAGTCTTCGCTGATTGCCCCACCAGGGAACTTGTCCCCAGCTGGGACAGGGAGAGCTGTCACTTCTGTTGGGTAAATCTGATCTCCCTTGGACGGAGGCGGTGGGGGAGGAGACTAAGGTGCTTTATGGCTGAAGCTCTGGAGGTTTCCTACAGGAATGTCCTGACACTGAACCTCCCATCCAGGCTTGTTACAAAGGTTAGATGAGATGAGGTAAGTGAGGTCCCTGTAACTCAAAATTCCTTTCTCTTCCTGTGGAAATCCCCCACCTGCCCACTGAATTCCTCTCCTGGCCCAGGAGGTGGGGACAGTGGGAGCAGGCCTGGTAAAGGCCAGAGAGACGTAATCTTTGCTCTCTTTTCAGTGCAACGGCTGGACGTGGTACCTTGCCAGTGACTTTCATTTCCATCTCACGACCCCAGTGATCGTCTCCGTCCATGGAAAGTGAGTCTTACCGGGACACGTTTTCTCCCCATGTGCCCTTTTCCACAGAACTCTCAGGGAGCGCTCCTTCCAGGGAGAGCAGCTTTTAAAATTTAGGTTGAGACCTTCTCAGAAGAGTTTGGAACATGAAATCCACCACTGTCTGCGTCTCCTGCATTCTCCAATCTCTGTCCAATGCACGTCAGTCTGTGTTTTTGCAGAGCTGTGGCCAGTGTGTGTGTGACATCTCATGCTCAGCTTTCCCCCTATAACCGTTCTTATACTTACATGACCTGCATACTTGTCAGCTTTAGGGTGAAATGCCATTTGGAAGGTTGGGCATCCAGATTGTTTCCAATTCTTCATGCTCATGAACGGCACCCCCACGAATGTCTTGGGACATACTATTTTTTCTCTTGGTTATTTCCTTGGGGACACATATGCAAGTGGAATTACTAGGTCAAGGGGTAGGAACAGTTTTGTGACATACTGTGAGGTGGCTGCCCGAAAGAGTGAAGTAATTACAGCGCCCCACACAACCCAGCCCTGCACCTGCTTCTCCACCTGGGGGGATGGATCACCTGAAGCTTCGTTAGTTTTAGAAAAGCTCTAAACTAAGGCCTCAATCATTCATGGAGAAACTGAGAGTTTTTGCATTATCCATGCCATGTTTAAAAAGATTTATTCTTCACTCTTATTCAAGTTAAGGACATTGGGAAAGACATAAGGATGACGAGAAGAGAGCACGATCCCCTTAGACCCATTTCCTCCCTCAAGGAGACGTTAATTCGCTGTTGGTAGTTTGGTGTTTTCCTTCCTGATCTTTTTCTGCACAGCTTCTTATGCATGAAAGGATTCTGCATATGCACTTTAGTATCTTTCTTTTAATAGTTTTATGACATAAGCATTTCCCTAGATTATTTTATTTTTTTAAGTAAACATACTTTCAATGTCTGTGTAACATTCCATTCCATGAACGAACTAAGGTTTACGGATACCTTCCCCTATTGTTAAATACTTGGGTTATTTCCAATTTTGTGCCTAGATAAATAATAGCCTGATAAACATTTTCCTGGTAAATGTGTGTCTCCAACGCTGACGTTTCCTTAGGAATATCCTCAAGAGGAATCACTTGGTCAAAGGGCACGCATATCCTTTGGGATCTTGAAGCATAATGACAAATTGCTTTCCTTAAGGGCCGTATCAATACGCAGTCCTCTGGCCTTCCAATTACACCATCGTCAATATGGAATATTAACAAAGCAAAACAAACTGCACATTCATTTTTCACATCCAACGTGTAAGTCTTTGATTACTAGGGGGTGGAGCTAAGTTCCAAATTTGCCCTGACCAGCTCCATTTGTTGGTACCCCTTCATGCCTTAGAAATGGACAACAGTGACTACAGTGCCCCCCCAGTCTCCGCAGGGATGGGGGTGTGGGGAGGCTGGAGAGCCCACTGTGAGTGTCTGCTCAGCTAGGCCAGCGCAGGGTTGGCCGTCCCACTGCTCTGCTCGGTCCCTGTGTCACAGAGGGCTTCCTCGTCGTTGCAGCCCATCCCCTTTCCTGATTTCCTCTCTTACCACCCTTTCTGGACGGTATTGCTGTGGAGCAGGGTTTAAGGAAGGCTTTGGGATGGAAGGTTTTGGTTTCCCCTTTTTGCTCAGCCTCGGCCCTTCTCACACTCTTCCTGCCTCATCTCTTCTCAACGCCATCTCCTCCGAGGGCGGGCGTGGGGGGATGCGGAGACCCTGAATGAGTGCGGGGTCTGTACCTAGATGCGTACTAGAGGGAGGCGGGGTGAGCCCAGGCTCTCTCCTGCCCATTCCCCCAGAACAAAAGCATCCTAATCTCATGTGCTGTTTTCTCAGGGGTGGGTATGTGTACAGTTTTTGACAGCAGAATAGGACTGATAAAAGCATATGAGATTGACTACGGAAATAAGATCTGATAATCACGTTGCTATCTATTTTGGGAATGAAGAGTTAAAAAAACAAAACAGAACTCTGAACAGCCTCTTGTAGAAAGACCTACCACACTATGTCTGTTTACACCCGTGTCTCTCCAGGATGAAGCCATGGAGAATTAGAGTGATCTCCTCCCTTTGCCCCAACAAGGAATCAAGCAAGGAAGGTTGAGTAGATAAAAGGTGCCTTTGGGGTGCTGAGCAAGCTCCCCACCCTCAAGCCTCTTAGAGGAGGTGAGCTGATCACCCAGAAGACTCCTGTGTCTGATCTTCCAGCTGCCAAA